CCTGAAAACAGTTCAAAAGTCTCTCCCAAACAGACGTAGTCAAAAGTCAAATTTTTCTTTCTCTCCCAATAGTTTTTGAGATTAAAAGTCCAAGCTCAGTAGGTGTTTATAGTCCAAGAAGGTCAGGGTGATAAGTATGCCAAAATATTTTCCTTTATTGCCAGCTGTTCTCCATTGAGCTAGGAGTCACCAAGCAGCCAGGAAGCTAGCTGTAGTGCTATACTCAAATCCACCACTAGATGTCATTCAAAATCCATTTTCCACTCTTAAGACAAAGGATTGATTTCTCATATTTCACCTCAGTTTTTTTCCAAAAAGAAAATCTTAACAGTTATCTCAGTTCTCAAATTTATCAGAACTGTAACTTTATGTTACTTCCACTTCATTATATATTTCTGTCCCCCATAAAAGAAATTAAAATGCCACTTCCATTCCTCTGGAAGAGTGGGGCTACCACCCCCTTCCTTCTCATGCTTGGAGGTTTTTCGCTTCTTGGGAGCCTTTCCCAGGAAATTCAGTTTTAGAGTAGTAAAGAAAGGATCAATATTCTCACCCAGTTCCAAACATGCTGTTTACAATCTGTTAATTGGTGCTTTTCTTCTTCGGTTGTCAGTGGCTAATGGCTGGCCACAAGAATGTAGCCCGTCTTTCCCCTGCCGGTTTGGAGGGCTTTCCTTGGATCAAACGGAAAGATCGTCATCTCTCTGTGATCGACAAGGTACCCCTCCTTCATCGCCTCTCCAGGGCGACTTTAGGCCTTCTTAGGGCTCCCACCAGTGTGAAATCAGGCACGGAAAGCAGACCTCTGCCTTCCTGCGTCCATCTCTCCACAACGCAAACTGGAAGTCCCTGATTTCTTTCTGTTTTTATGAGCTCATTGTTGAGTGCCTCCACATCCTGTATATCAGTCCCAATCCCAGTCTCATTCCTTTGTATTTAAGTATTTTGGGGTCTCTTTTTTCTCTTCCCATGATTCAGTTTAAACTCCTCTGGATCAGATTTACAAGATGCCTTTCAAATACATTCTTCTCAGTTCTTACACAACACACCCCTTATCTTGCAAGTGTATTCCTCGATCATGGATGTCATGGTTCCAAAAGATGAAACTCTTCAAAGAACTTTGAGGCATTGTTTACCTTAAAAGAATCTTTAATCGAGCAGCATAGCTTCGGTACGTACATAGTTGAAGCCAGAATCTGAATTCCCCTCCCCTAAACACATAGTATCAAAGCACAATTCCCTTTGACAATGGAAACACATCCCATTATTGAAGATTACAAACCATCTACCATCTGAAGACATTTGTGTAGGCAATTGATTTCTTCCAGTATTTTTCTTTCTTCGTGGGCCACATCAAACTGGAAAGAAGTGAAGAAAACATCACCTGTGCTCCAACTTCTCTATCGTCTCTCCAATCTTTCATTGCCCCATGCAATGTCAAGATGTGTCCAAGTGTGTCATTTGTTCTTACAGTTCAATAGAAAAAAATATTTTTCATTTGGTTTCAAGAGACTTGGGAGCCTGTTACACCAAGAACATGAGCCCCAGGAAAGCAACGTGACAGGTATGTGGCCAAAATTATCATGTGCTAAGTATACAAGGAATGTTATTGGATAGCTGGGAGTTATACAGAAAAATAATTGGGAAGAAAGATGAAATTGTCTACTCTTGATGGTGAAAACCTGAACAAGAACACTGCACTGTATTTTATATTTTACACTCTTGTGTAAAATGCAGTTAAAAATATTATTGTCTTATAAGAAGGTCCACAACTTTGGGCAAAGGTATATCTAACAATATGGGCCAAATGGGTGGGTGAAATACTAATCAAAAGGCATGGCCCAATGATTCAGCATTTCTCTCCTTAATGGGGTTTTTCCCCTGTTGTCATAAGATAAAAAGATGGAGAAAAAGTGGCAAAATAAATAGAAAACAATTTTGTCTGAAGAGCCCATAAAGTTGTTCAAATGAAGCACGACAATTGTACAATAAAAAGCTTCATCTGGAAGCATTCATAGCTCATTCCCCAAATAATGGCTCTCACTTGATACTTTCTTCCATATGGCTGAAAAGTACAAATTTAGTCTCAAAATATTTTATTCCAAAATCCATACTAGGTTAGAAACTGAGCGCTCTCTCCTGTTGCCCCCCCCCCACCTTTAATGTGAAGAAATGGTTGTTCATGCTGAAAATTTCTATTGCTAAGAAATTTAATTGCAGTTTTGACTGAAGGGAAACTGCAAACATTCTGAGGCTGAGAATAAAGCACATGAAAGATTTATATAGTTTATTTATTCAAATGCAAGCATGGAACTGTTACTGAGAGCTATGATACATTCCTATTAACTTTTACTGGCTGAGGTACTCTCACATTTTTTTTTTATTCTTAATTTTGTGTCTTTCTTATTCCCATTGTATGTATTGGGAGAAGGATAAATAAGAAATATTACTTATCTTAACCATTTGATGTAAAAGCCAGAAATATAATGGTGATATCCTTTATTACAGTAAGCCTTATTAATGTATCTTAATTAACAATTGTCTAACTGATGAGGAAAAAGAGAAGCAAACCTTACATGGAGCATTATTTCATTACATGAAATTCACAAAGATTTCCCATCTCATCCTCTCCTTTCTTCCATATGTAGCGTAACAAGGATTTCCAGGAGATTCATAGGATTTGGTGAAAGACACAGTACAAAAGCAATTCTTTTGGATTTTTATTTTATTTATTTTATTTATTTAACAGTATCAGTTCATTTTATTTTTCCTAGACCAGCTCTGCAAGCAGAATTTACATTAGCATTTACATTGCTTTTTCTCTTCACCTCCTGAAATGACAGAGGCTTGACTTGTAGTATTTTGTTTTGTAGTATTTTTTTCTCTTTCCTACTAAATATCATAACCAAAGATGTCTCTAACTGCACATATTTTTGCCAGTTGAATTGTTGCTTTAACATGTATGTATCTATCGTTATTTCTAATTAATCTAAAATCTATTTACATCCTATGTTAGAGATAAGGAAAAGGCTAGAGATGTACTAGTTCTCTTCTCTCTAGAAAAAAAAAACCCAAACACAAAAAACAGAAGCATCCAATTTAATAAAAAGGATGTGAGGGGGATCTGGATAGCAGAAACACTACTGCGAGGCAAAAATCTATCAGTGATGCAAAAGCTGGTTAAGACTTGGAAATCCCACGTCTGAGGCTTTTTTCTATGTAAACTGTGGTTTGGGGTTTGGGGTTGTTGTGGTTTTTTTTTTAATGCCATGGGTTAGTGGTTGAATGAACTTTCCCTTTACTCTGTCTTTTGGACAAATTGCACCAGCAGACTAGAGGCTTTTTGGTCTTTGACTTCTGACAGGGCACCACATCTAAGCTGCAAATACAGTGCAAAAACTCTAGAGAAATTCCCTGGCTGAGAAATTCTGTTGTTGAAGTTCACTCATCTTAAAGTTGCTGTAGTGCTTTGCTGCCATCTGGAGTTTTGTGGAGTTTTGCAACCAGTTATGGCTGCTAAAAACAACTCCTAATACATGTTGTCCTCAACTTATAAAAGTTCATTTAGTGACCATTCAATTTTACGACACTGAAAAAAGTGACATGACCATTTTTCACACTTACGACCATTGCAGCATCCCCATGGTCACGTGATCAAAATTCAGACACTTGGCAACTGATTCATACTTATGATGGTTGCAATGTCCCAGGTCATGTGATTCCCTTTTGCAACCTTCTGACAAGCAAAATCAATGGGGAAGCCAGATTCACTTAAATCTTTGTAACTAACTTAACTGCAGTGATTCCTTAACGGCAGCAAGAAAGGTTGTAAAATGGGGCACTTAACACACTTAACAAATGCCTCACTTAGCAACAGAAATTTTGGGCTCAATTGTGGTCATAAGTCGAGGACTACCTGAAGTCGTCTGCAGGCTCTGGCTTATCTTCTCAGCAGCCTGCCCAGAACCTGAGGGGTCTCCTCTGTCTGTCCTTGCCTTCTGAAACCAACTAGGGTAGACCCACCTATTGGATTCTTTTCTCTGTGGGTGAATGTGACTCCCACTTTAGCAGCTTTTGGGTAATCAATGCTTTAAAGAAATCCCAATATCATAATTATTAAGCTATAATTGTCATTAATAGAACCAGGTTGGTGTAGTGGTGAGACAAGGGGAAAACTATGAGTTCTAATCCGGCTTTGGGTACAAAATCAGTTGGATGACTTTAAACTAGTCATCCTCTCTAAATGGCAATCTGCTTTTTGAAATCTTGCCCCCAAAATTGCAGTGGCTTGGCCAGGCAGTCACCAGGAGTCAACACTGACTCGAAATCATAAAAAAAAAAGAAAAAGTCATGACCAGCTTATTTGCGCTTATTTATTTTATTAGTTTTCACTACACTTTATGAAAGCATTGGTATTTTAAGGATTGCAGATGTACAAACGGTAGTGACCGAAAGCTTCTCTTGCTTGGGACTTCAAATGCACAAATAGCGGACTTGTCCTTACGTGGATTTCAACAATGGGAAGGAAGTTGCGCCTTTCGATATCAATTACAAGGCGGAATAAAAATTGCGGTAGATAAAAATGGGTTTCGCGCTACTAAATAATTACTTTAAAACACAAGACACTTACCCGCCCCAAAAGTTAAAACACCGTAAAAAATTCCAACATCTACAGAGAGAATTAGAGAACTTAATGTAGCCTTGATTGAGATTATCTGTTCTGCGGCCTAATCAAAGAAGGGGAAAAAATTAGCTTTTGTTTTTTGGCCATTCCTTCGGATTTACCCTCGCTTTTTCTTTTCTTCGCCTTCTTTTATCGGGCACTTAGGTTGGACGCCTATAAAGCGGCGGTCGCGGATGTCGTCCGCGCCGGAAGTAGTGAAAGGTCCCCTCTTTTCCCGCAAGATGGCGATGTTGGCAGAACGTGAGTATGAAGCCGGTTAAAACGGAGTAGGTAGAAAACAGCGCGAGATATGGGGGTAATTGGCAATCCCTTCCCCCGCTTCGTACGCCTGTGATCATTATGAGATGTCTGTGATTTGTGTAGATCAGCTATGGTAAAGTGAGATTTAAATCTATATCCAGCCAGGATCTTTCTTCCAGTATGGGGCGATTAGATATTGATGCCCATAAACAAAACATGGGAGTAGCAGCTGCTTCATTTTTTTTTCTTCCGCTAGGTTTCAAAAGCTTTCAGTCTCCAAATCTTTGTTTGGTTCTATTGAAGATTGCTCGAGCAGGGGGTTGGACTAGAAGTCCTCCAAGGTCGCTTTTAACCCTGTTTTATCTTCTGTGAAGATCTAAAGCCGTGTTTGTCCCTGGATGACGACTAGGTGACAGCACAGAGTTATCTGCATCTTTGCTTCATTTAATAGTCGTCCAGATTTTCATAGCCACAGAACGTATATAGACTTCTGTGCTGTGCATTTAAGCAGATCGTTTTTAAAGCTACTTCCAGTGCTTATGCTGCCCCCAAATGGTATCAGAGGAGTTAGAAACAATATTGAGATTGGGGTGAGGGAGGCTTTACCTTTGTAATTTGCTTTTTGCTTCTAAGTTACAAAGGCTGAGTTGGAGAAGCCATAGAAAATGGCTCAAGACAATTAAAGATTAGGGGAGACAGAGAAAAGCTCAGATTGAGTGCTGTTGTTAAATTTATCTGTAAACAAGTGGGCAGTGCTGCTATATTAGTCAGTGCAATATCTGGAGTCAAACAGGGTATCTGAGGAGTCATCTCATCCCAGTAGGATTGGCCATCGCACTCACTCTAGCAGAAGAGGCTTGCTATGGACCCCGTCTGCCAATAAATTTTGGCTAGTGGCATCCAGGACAAGAGGCTGTGTCCCTCACACTTTGGAAATTTCTGCTGCCAGAGATAACATCCACCCCAATCTTTTGGCCTTCCAGAAGGGTCTTAAAACTGGCACTTCCAGCTGGCCTGGGGCCCTAGAGTGGGAGTGGCTGATGAGGAACAAAGAACATCCCACCCCTATGCCACTCATCCTCTTGGTTTTTAGTTTATATTCAATCCTTGTTAATTTTAATTGTTTTCAAATTTATCTTTTTATATTTTGTAAAGTGCCTAACATCATCTCAATAACGAGATAAGCAGCATATAAACTGAATAAATAAAAATGTTAAGTTAATACTGAATTAAATTTGAGTGTTTGAGATCAGAAGTGTAATATACATTTCAATTATCACTATTTATCAGAGGCAATTCCTATTTCCTGTCCCTTGTTCTTCATCAGTATTTTTTCTTAGAACAGATTTAGGGAATGCTGTAAATCAATGTGTGTGCAAATAGAGATTCACAAAATTACTACAAACTGGCAAACCTGAATACAATATTAGTTGCCTTAAACATTTGTCAGTAAAATGCTTAAAATTGCTTGTCAATCATCCTGCCTGGTATCTTAGAATATTGACTATTTCTTGGTAAACTGTTTAGAAAAAGATTTATTGCCTACTTTCCTTTTATTTTTTGTAAATAAACTTGCTTCACTGGACATAATCCAAACATGAAAATAAGTATTTTTAAAATAATTTATGGTGAAAAATGTAAGTCTACCTTTAGTCCTCCAATTTTTAATTGTGGAATTTGAGAGTTACTTGTTGATCTCCCTTATAAGCGAGTATAGAATATTCTGGGAAGAGATTATAATATCTTTTATATTAGGAAATATTATATTTATTGACTTGGTTAGTCTGTTTTCTCGCATCTTTTTGGAGCCTTTTCCTAATCTCTCTCTCTTCACAGAATTGAGTACATCTTGTTGAGATTCCCAATGCCTTGTGTATTCATTGCCTAAAATGTTATTTAAAAATCTTTACAGAAAAAATGCTTTGATTAGGAGAAGCACTACTTGTCAAGAGGAAAGGCTTCCTATTCCGATTTTGAAAATATGACTAGATTTTACTTCATTTTCTCTTGTAGCACGTCGCAAACAGAAATGGTCTGTGGATCCCCGGAACAGTGCTTGGAGTAAAGATGAATCAAAATTTGGCCAGAAAATGTTGGAAAAAATGGGATGGTCAAAGGGCAAGGTAAATTTTTAGGTTGAAAATAGCTGCTTAAGTTTTCTTTAGTATTTTCAGGGTTAATTAGAGAATAACATGTTTATGAAATAAAATAAGTATTATAAAAGTTGCCAGAATAAGAAATTAAATGGGGATCATTTGCCCCCTTGGCCTTCCTAACAAGGATCCTCTTACTTTCATCTGGAACAAATTACTTTTCAAATAAAATCTGAAGTTTACTGCAAACTGATTTTCCTTGACATAAGGACCCTGGATAAACTTCCTGAAGCCACTATCCTGAATCCAGTTGTTAAATCTTGAAGATGTGCCTCAACTTGAACTTTCATTACAGGAAAGATGTCCCAGTTAAATTCTTACATTTGTACTGCCTTATGAGTGCAAAGCTGATGCAAGCAGAAGCACCTTCTAGACCCATTTGTTGCCTAAGAATCAAGAGTCATTGAGAAATTATACCTCAGAGTTTTCAGATTAGTAAGAGAAAGCTTCTGTCACATACAGAAGGAGCAACCATGGGGACTCTCTTCCCTTTCTCTGCAAGTATGGATGATTGATTTCTGGTTGCTAGTTGTTTGAGTATGTGTGGGTTTTGTTTTGTTTTCTAATTATTTCAACCTGTTGAGAATTGGATTGAAAAAAAAGACAAGGAAAGGAAAAATTGACACCCTTCTGCACACTAAAAAAACATGAGGTTCTCCAAGACAGATCTGTTTGTCATTTGTTTCCACTAGGGGCTTGGGGCTCAAGAACAAGGCAACACAGAGCATATTACTGTTCAGGTGAAGAACAACACATTGGGATTGGGAGCTTCGGTGAGCCAGGAGGTAAGTGGAGGTAATAGAACTGAGGCTACACAGACTCATAGCTCAAGCGCTTACACACACACACACACACACACACACACACACACATAAATCAAGTTTTTTATTAGGTTTTTTTGTTGTTGCGAAGTCCTGTCCGACCCATCGCGACCCCATGGACAACGTTCTTCCAGGCCTTCCTTTGCTCTATCATCTTCTGGAGTCCATTTAAGCTCACACCTCTTCACTTTCTGTCATTAGAGTGGTATCATCTGCATATCTTAAATTGTTGATATTTCTCCCGGCAATCTTAATTCCAACTTTTGATTCATCTAGCCCTGCCTTTCTCATGATGTGCTCTGCATATAAGTTAAATAGGCAGGGCGACAGAACACAGCTTTGCCGGACTCCTTTCCCAATTTTGAACCAATCAGTGGTTCCGTGTCCAGTTCTCACTGTTGCTTCTTGACCCGTATATAGGTTTCTCAAGAGACAAATAAGATGGTCTGGTACTCCCATCTCTTTAAGAACTTGCCACAATTTGTTGTGATCCACACAATCAAAGGCTTTAGCATAGTCAATGAAGCAGAAGTAGATGTTTTTCTGGATATAGAATTAAGTCTACAAATTTAGCAGATGTAAAATTAAGTTTAATTTGATTGGGAAAGACACAAAGTAATTACAATGCATTTTGGTTTGGTTTGACATAAATATTTTCATATGTGACTGAATTAGTTGGCTGCTTGTAATGATTTAAAATGTTGATAATTTTAATGCAAGATGTTTATTCAGTTCACACATTAACATTGAAATGGAAGTGCTAAAATTTGTATAATGTTAAAAATTATATAATAAATAATGATGATGATAATAATAATAATAATGTTGGAAGAAACCTTGTAGGTCATCTAGTCCAACCCCCTGCTCAGGCAGGAAACCCTATACTATTTCAGACCAATGACTGTCCAGTCTCTTCTTTAAAACTTCCAGTGTTGGAACATTCACTGCTTCTGGAGGCAGGTTTTTCCACTGGTTAATTGTTCTAACTGTCAGGAAGTTTCTCCTTAGTTCTAGGTTGCTTCTCTTTTTGGTTAGTTTTCATCCGTTGCTTCTTGTCCTGCCTTCAGGTGCTTTGGAGAATAGCTTGACTCCCTCTTCTTCTATTAGTATTAGTAATAAATTTTTAACATCATACAAATTTTAGCACTTCCATTTCAATGTTAATGTGTGAACTGAACAAACATCTTGCATTAAAACATTCTAAATCATTATAAGCAGCCAACTAATTAAGTCCCATATGAAAATATGTATGTCAAACCATATAGTTTACAGTTAGCCAGCAAATCAGCATTGCAAGCTTTAGTTCCAAGTGCTACTCTTAGCTTCTATGAATTGCTAAACCCTAAAGCTTCTGAAGGCTACTATATCACATCAAGGATGTATGGATGTAATGATCCACAAATTAAAGCAGATTTGAATCGTGGCTCTTCTGCTTGTGCATTTGGGAGTGCAGACCATGGTTTGTATATCATACTTAGATTTATGATAACTGATTTGGTGGTCTGAATTTGAATCAGTAGAACATGGAAGAGGCAATGATGATCATGGTAATAATTTTATAGTTTTTAATTATTTAATTATTGTCCTTTTTGTTATCTTTCACTCACTCCTGATCAGTTTAGATTGCAATCATTTGGTTTGTGTGTTGTGTGCAGGACAACTGGATTGCTCACCAAGATGATTTCAACCAGCTTTTGGCAGAATTGAATAATTGTTATGCACAAGATGATCCAGGTAACAGGATTCAACTTTGAGGGCAACTGGTAATGATAATCTTAATATAAAATTACATACAGTATGTTGACCACATGAGGTCACTATTGCTGTTTGAGTGCAAGCATGTGTAATCAAAGCCCACCTCCTACTCTGTCAGACTTGCTGAACATTAGAATTTTGTGGGATTGGGGTTATAATCTTTGGATGAGGTGACTTTATTCTCACATCTAGCTGATAGTTTTACCAAAATAGTGATGCTTATAGTCTGGAGGAATGATCATTTTTAAATCCTCATCTTGATGCAGATCTTCTTTATCACCAAGATCACTTTGCATCTGAATTTGGCTTTTGACATCTGAATTGCCTTTGCATCTTAGTGTCCATTAACACACATTCCTGAAGATGCCTGAAAGAACATCTCATATCATGACGGACACAGAAAAAGCTGCCATTCTTAAGCACATGTTCTTCCTGTTTATAGTGATCCAAAACAAAAAATGAATTGTCCATTCTCTGGCTAATTGGCAACAGGGCTGAGAAACACAGATCTTTTACACAAGTCATTCACTGATGGAACTTGAAGGCAAGACTTTTATAACTTGAGAAACTCAAGGAAGAACAACACTTTCAGTGTAGAAGCTGGGAGCAAGCTATTGCTATTGTAAGAATCAGTAAAGATGCACTGAAAAAGCAAGAAGTACGGAGAGAATACTCTACAGTGGAATTTAGCATGTTAGAAGGACTGTAGATTTTGGCCTCATGTAATTGCATTTTCTGTTTGTATTCTAGAATCTACTTGCAAAGATAAAAAGAAAACTTTTAACCTTGAGGAAAAATCCAAGACCTCTAAAAAACGAGTTCACTATGTGAAATTTGCCAAAGGTAAATTCAAATGAAACTAAATGAAACCTGTCACATGAAAAACCCCATTAAAATGTTTCTAATGTGATCAGTACAGTAACCACACTGAAAAAAATCTATTTAAATATATAAAAATATTGTTGAGAGTATTTGATGGAGAATCTGTAGCATGGAAAGGATTAAATTTGAAGCTGAGGCATGTGTGTTGGTGCCTGTAGAATATTGAATGCAGTTGGTTTTGATGCACATTGCAACTTTTACTTAAAGGAAGCAAGTTTCCTCCAAAAACAATAAGTCTGGGAGAATTTTTTTCTGGTTTAAGCATCATTGAAATGAATCAAATGTTTTTAAAATGTGTATGGAGAAAACTTAATTTTCTTCCTCAGAAGCATTGACCTAACCTTTATTCTAGAAGAAAGCAATAAATTGTTTTGTTGTTTTTCCTGCAATTCTTTCCAGGAAAAGATCTCTCTTCACGAAGTGAAGATGACCTATCCTGTATTTTTGGGAAGCGCAAAATCAAAAAAATGCAAGTATGTGATTTTACTTGACATTGTAGATATGCATTGGGCTGTTTGATATATTCTAATCATTTAAAAATACTTGTCTTCTGCTATACATCAATTGAGAATTATATACATTGCTGTGGCCTACCCAAGGCAGCTCTAGTTCACACAAAGCCTTCAGTCTTGAAGTAGTCTCAGAGAATGCTCTTCCACGGCCTTTGCGGGGTTTTTTTTGGGGGGGGGGGAAAGCCTTTGAAAAGCAAAAGCACACCCATTCTTCTGTGATTTTTAGTGGGTCTGGAAGCTGCATGAGAACATGGCCCTCTCACACAACCCCATGCAGCCTCCGCAAGCTCTGAAAATCACAAGAACAAGGTGTGCTTTTGAGAATAGTTATTGAATGTTGGTAAATGCTGGCATGTCACCTAAAACATTATGCCATGTCATGGGTTCACCATCACTGAACTACTTGCAAGTAGATTGTTAGTGCTCATTTATAAAACATAATAAAAGGCTAGGCACAACACTCCACATTTTGTGTCATAAAAAAAACTTAAGAAGCATAGGTCTCAGTTAAGCTCTATTATCTATTCCTGTAAACCAACCTTGTACAACATAGTATGTTTCACCACAAATACCATAATTCATAATCAATTGATTGGAAATTATGGGAATATTTGCCTATCCAGTTTGGGAATAATGTAAATCCTCTGGAAATGCAGGTGATATTTTCTGGATGGTGGAATTTGGAAACAGAATAACTTGCTAAGGAACTAGTATGGATTAATATATGGACAAGTTGATTAAATTCAGCTGTGAAAAGTGTCAACAGACAAAATTAGAAATTAGGCAATTTGTAAAGTTTTGTTCCTTTTTAGAAAAATTCTCATGTTTTATCTACCTGTTTGTTGAGTATTTGTTCCAGAATGAATGTCTTTGGGAAAAATATAAAATCCTGGAAAATATATGGAAATTGCAGCCTTCCAGATAGCGAGCACCCATAATTCCCATTCAGCTTAAGCCAGGAATGATGGGGAATGAAATCTAGAAACATGTGGAAGAGCATTATTTTCTTTTGCCTCTTGTTTAATATGAAAGTTCTAAGGAGCCTCAAATTTTAAGGCCTCCATACTACCTTCTGTTGGGTATAAACAGTTGGAAAGGATGGTTATCTTCAGAATCTTCTTTTAAAATGGCCAGAAATAAATGTTTGGTCTCTGCTAGAAATTGAATATCAAACTAAATATTCCTTTGGTTTTAGCTTTTCTAGCTCTTTTTCTGCTTGTAAGACAGCTGCTTCAGAATAACTGAGGGAAGTAAATGGCTTTTTAAAAAATACTATTATTTGATCATTTCAACCATCACATAAATTGTTAACTGCCTACTCCCAGACTGCTTTCCTGGTTCCTGTTTTATGTCTTGGAAGCTGAGATTGTATAGTGATGGGGAAGCTTATTTCATTCAAAGACTGTATTTCAAGTTAACTTTATTATGTATATACACATAAAGCTCTTCTTTTTATCTAGTCTGGTATGTGGGATTGATTAGAAATAGTAAAACATGGTACTAGACAGTATCCATGAGCTCTTGGTATGTCCTTAGGATGTGGTTGAAGGTTTGTATTCTTTGGAAGATTGGCACTAAACACACACCATATATGAGTGTCAAGATTAAAAGAACAGGAAATGGTGGATGAGAACATCCTTGTATCTCTTCCTGCCTAGATAGGAAGAGTCCTGGTGTCCATCAAGGTTTAGAGTTCTGTTGTCAATCAAAGATTAGCACAGCCAACATTTTCAATTTTGGTATCTAAGCCAGGTGAATCAGGTGAGGAATGTTCCTTTGCTAATATAGTTTTCAGCCCATGTTTCTTGCTATCTTATTTCAAGAGATCTCATTTCTTTTTTGTTGAATGTTTTATGTTCTCAAGAAACTCCACTGTACCTTTTCTCTTCTTTGCATATGCATCGGCTCTTTCATTGATTACAAAACACCAAAAACTCCTGTGATTGCTTTTCAGTTCAGTCAAACATGCACTTTAAGTGAATTCTTTAAAAAAAGAAATGCCAGCAACTGAGAACAGTCTTTCTCTGACTTCCTGAAAGAGGTGCTTATGTCAAGCATGATCCTTTCTACCCTTTGCCCTCTAGCTACATTGGATTAACACAGCCTCCCTTAACATATGAGATAAGCTTGCCAATAACAATGATATTTTTTATATCTTAACCTTATTGACTTCCTGCATTGCAGATCCTCTAAAACTAAACCTCTGAGCCTGATTCTTATATTTTTCCCCATGGAAGCAAATATTCATGTTCTTCTGTCAACCTCCAATTAAATCTTCAAGTGTAGAATAATGTCCATTTCTTCCCTTATGTGAGATAAACTCTCCTATTTTTTTTTACTTTACTTTACTTTTTTACTTAGCTGCAAACAAACATTTGGCCTCCTTATGAGTTGACAGCTTATTTCCTGTACAGCAAATTATAAGGCTAAGCAACAGTGTGTTTTGTAACTAGTTAAGGGAAATTTTTGTCATCCTTGATGTCCTTGTTATATAAAAACCACAGCAAAAAGTTGCCTATCTGAATATTTTTACATTCAGATTGTTTGCATTTTTTCTCAGGGAGATGGTGAAGTAATTACAGTTACTGATTAGACTTCCATCAAGGAACCTTTTCAGCAGGAGGAGAATTGCTCAGATGTTTACTTTTTTATTGTACTGAGCAAAAGTTCTCAACTAAATTATTCAAATTCTGGAAAACTACTGAGAGCCCAGTGATTAAAAGCCAACAAATATCAGTCTTTTAAAAAAAATGTTGGGAGAAGATCCATGAACTACAGGGCATTAGTCCAACAACAATGCCTGGAAACATTATAGAGAAAAATATAATCTGGAAACACCTTAAAAATAGCATTACCAAATAAGTGTTTGGATTTGTCAAGAACAAATCTTGCAAAATTAATTTATTCTAATTTTTCATCTGTTAACTTTCTAAAAAATGTGGAATGCATTAGATATATCTTGGGTATAATAAAAAAAATAGCCTGTGTTGTATAAATGTATACTTCTTAGAGAATATTTATCAGTGGTTTTCATCAAACAGAAAAAAAAAATTGGGTGTGTTTCCACAAGGATCAGTTCTCAATACTCTGCTTTTAAATATTTTTATTAATTATTTTGATAAAAGAGATAGAAGAAATTTATATGAAATGATACAAAATTGGATTGAATTCCTAATATCCTAGAACAGGAATCCTCAACCTGTGGGCTGCGACCCACTCGTGGGCCATGAAGGGATTGCAACTGGGCTGCGGAAACGGCCAGCCAGTACGTGCACACGCATCTTCATTTACGCAAACAGTGATAGAGCACATACAAGTGCATTCCATTTGTATGAGTGGCAGGCGTGTGTGCACACCACTCGGGCAAGTGGAGCTGCACGCCACTCGGGCAAGTGGAGCTGCATGTACACGTGCTTGCCGATAGCTCACCCGGAACCATCTGCTCTCTTCCTGCCCCCCCCATTGGTCCGCAAAGCTGGAAACATTGGGGAATTCAATCCTAGAAGACAAAACTAAAAATAAATATAATCTTTGTAGCATAGAAAAAAGGCCAAAAATAAAAATGAATTTTAATAGATAAATACAGAGTTCTTCATGAAAGAAAAAAAAATCAAATATCCAAGTACTGAAAAGGAAGTATATGGCTTGGTAGTGGGGAAAGAAATTGCCTGCAAACAATATAAGCCAGCAGCGTGGGACAAGTACAAAAAGGACAAATACCATTTTTGGCTGCATCAGTTGAAGTATACGTTTGGGAAGTAATCATTCCATTTTATTGTGCTTTAGTCAAAAGCTATGTATGGTTTGATTTAAGAATTCAGAAAAATTGAAACAGGATCATAAAAGGGCAATAAGGATGATAGGAGGACTAAAAACTAAATTCTGTGAAGAAATATAGAACTGAATATGTTTAAGCTTGAGAATAAAGCTTAATAAAGGGTTGGATATTAATATTTTTCAGATATAACGAAAAGGATGTCACACAGAAAACCACAGCATATTCTCTCTTGTACTAGTGAGCAGGGCACAGGTTTATGTTACAAGAAGGCAGATTCCAACTAAAAGTTAGAAAAAACATCCCTAGCATTAGATGTTAGGTTCCCTTTCATCGGATGTATTCAAACAGAGACTAAACAGCCATCTTCTGGAATGCTTTAATATAGGTTCTTTACACTGATATAAAGAATACACTAAAATAAAGAATACAAAAAACTAAAATTAATATTACAATAAAAGCCAATTAAAAAAGATACATCTTTCTAGACTTTTTGAAGGAACATCCTCGATGTATGTATTCTAGCCTGGGAGTAGTAAAAGAGAAAGTCATCTTCCATCTCCCAGGTAAGCAAACATTGGACAGTGGAAGCATGTTTAGAAAGATCTTCTACAGATCTTGGTGAGGCAGAGTCATAATGGAAGAGGTGGTTCCTCGGAAGCTCAAATCCTAAGTTAAACTTCAATATCAACGCCTTAAACTGCACCCAATAATTGGTTGGCAATTAGTGCAGGTTTTTTTTTATAATTTTAATTTTTGTTTTGTTTACTTATTACTGATGAAATGGCATTTTATTGGCAGCAAACTATAACATTTACCTGTAAGGAAAAATGATTCTCCATAATTTATTGTCATTATTATAATGACACTTATTTCATCATTAGAAAATTATTTATGTGCATGGTATTAAAAATAGCAGTAGCTTAAGAACAGGAAAGTTGTGATCATGTCAAGTGTACATAAACTACAGCTTGAAGAATAAAAGTAATATTTTAAAAAGTCCCATTTAATGTAATTTTTCAGGAACCCTTCGCTTGGCCATGCATGGAATATATCTCAGAGCTGCCCAGAAACCTTGAACCCTCCTGTGGCCATGCCTGGAATATATTTCAGGGCTGTCCAGGATCACAAGATGAAACATGACTAAGCTACCTTGAAAGCTAGAAAGTCAGTTTTCAACAGCCAC